TATTACATTTTATTGATTTTTTTTTTCAGATGATGTTTCTTCTAAATCTTCTCTGTTTATTCGTCTAGCCATTAGAACACCAGATCCTCCATTTAAGTTTCATCATTGCTGACTTCCCTGATAACCCTTTGAGGTCAAATCCAAGGTTGATCAGCAAATTCAGGTCAACTTACCTGCTACCCAGGGATACCATGTAACTTGAACCTAGGTCAGTTTAATGCCTAAGCCCAAGGTTCATCTCATTACTCCACACTCTCTTCCAATCAGTGGATCTGTTAAATGTCCTGTTAAATGCCACATGTCCTGATATTACTCCCTAATAAACATCAATAATTGATCATATCGCCCTTTCAGGTAAATCTTCACCCTCCTTCAGGAGAGACTTCAGGCCCATCCTCTTTCAGCTCAGGGTGGATCTAGGTCTGCTTCTACCATAAGTAGCATATATACCATGGCATTCAAAGCTTTTGTCCACCCCATCCCCCGAATGTTCCAGCTACAAAAATGTCAGGGTTCCAACCAGTGCCCTTCCAAGTTCACCATTATTCCAGTATTAGATGTAAACAGTGAGGAACATTTTTTCTTTTATCTACTTCTAACTCAGAGGAGTCCCTAATCTCTTCTACATACAGGACTCCCATTAGGTTTCCATGTTTGTAGCTATTTGTTCTAAACCAAAGTCAGCCTGGATTTATATTTGAAATTTCCTAAAATGTAGAGAAGAGAAAGATGAAGGAAAAGGATGTTATTGTAGTTGAATGCCTATCCACTGAGAGCAGCAGAAGAACCATTTTTGGTTTTGCCAAAATTAGCATTGCTAGATAAATTAGGAGACTTATATTCTCCCTGTTGCCAGGAGAGCATGCCAGCTAATTTTAGCCCACTGTGTAAATATAACCACCACTGATATGCACGGCCTTTAACATCAAGAGGGGTCAATGACGTCCTGTAACAGCCAGAGAAACGCTTACACTGGCCCATCTTGACTGGGTTTCCTAGTCCCTTATTATCCCTGATCCTACTGACTACTGACTTTTACACTTGGAGATGACCTTGGAGATCCCTTGACCTGACCCCCTGCATGGGACGCCGGGGCCTCTTCTATCTCTCTAGACAGAAGATTTCCCCCCAGCAAAATCAGCAACATCCTGCAGCCCTTGAGGCTGGTGCGACCTCAGTCATTTTTCTCTCAACAGTGTAACTGTCAGGCAGAGGAGCTGAGGTTGAAGTTTTAGAAGAAAATATTGAGTGCAGTCTTCTTTCTTTTTTCCTAGAAAAATGCCCTGTCTAGTGTAGTTAAATGTAATTGTTTGCTAATCTAATAGCCAGAAAAGGTCACAATAGAGCTCATACAACCAACCCTCTGAATTCTACCTCCTTCAGAAAATGGGTGATGGGTGGGGAGGGCATGATGGCAGTCCCTGGGAGGTGAACACAAGCACAGGGGACAGAAAAGTTCCAGTTCCTACCTAGTACACAGGCTTTTGAGCTATGCAAGTGAGGGACATCTCTCTGAACCTCAGTGTCCTCACTTGTTAGTTCCACCTCTTAGAGTTTCTGAGGAACTTCAATGAGATAGTGCATGCAAAGCCTGCAGAAGAACTCATGGAAGGTGACAAATGCTTCATTAATGTTGGTGATTGTTTTATTTGGGTTGCATGAATCGAAATCACAGTTCCCTGTTTACTAGATGATCTTAGGCAAGATAACCTAATTCTGGATTTTCTCATCTGTAAAATGGGCATAAAGAAAAATCCTACTTTATAGGGTTGCAGCTAGGATCAAATGAATGGAAAGATACAAAGCTCCTGGCTTCTGTCTGGCACCAGCATGTGCCCAGCCTGCCGCAGCTCATCTGTTTACTCCTCCAGGTGTTAGGGGAATTTTTCTTTTCACTTAGCAGTCATACTGACAAACCACTCAGGATTTAAAAAAAAAAAAAAAGAGTAGCTACAGACAGCAGGAGATGGAAATGTGTTCATTTTCAATCTTTTTCTTGATGGCTACAGAGAGTAGGACAAAATGGTTGCAAAATATGTAAAAATAACCATAGAACAGGATTTGGTAGAGAAAGAACATTTTTTTCTCCCTTATCTGGTTGTTTGGAGGCTTTGTTTCATGTGTTTGTCTTGTTTGTTTCTGCCTCAAAGTCAACCACGAGAATGAGAGTATGAAAGAGTTATTAGCCAAAGTGGACAAGCCATGCTGTTATTCTAGTCTAAAGATCTTGGAGAGACATAGAGACACATAAAAATGGCATATTGCTTCTGTGAAGATGATGTGTTCCCAAAGAAAGCCCAGAGGAGGCTAATATAAACAGGTGGATAACCCTCCAGTTTTTCTCATTCATTTAAGTATATGTCCTGTTATTTCTGTTTAGCAGCCAGTTAAACCTGCTACATTCTTGCTTAGACTAATATTAAAGTTAGTTTGCATTTCCTGAGACAGCCGCGAGATTGAGGTAAGATAACGACGTGGAGGAAGGAGTTGATTCACTGTTAAATGTGGCAACAGAACAATTGCAAGACCAGTAAACCAAAAACAGAGATCAGGAGGAAATTCAGTATATAAAGTAGAACACTACTGGATTATCTTCTCTTCATGGAGAAGCATTTCTTTTAGGTAAACCATTGCTCATGTTTAAAAAAGAAAAATGTACTCCCAGGAGTTTTTCCCCATTTGTAAGTTCCAAAGACTTAATGCTGATGACAGTTACTATATGTAGACCTTGGCAAAATCTTTCACTGTTAGCCCTTCCCACCCTCCCTGCAACTCTCACAGGAGCTGTGGTCAAACTGTGCTCTTGTGTCACAACAGGCTATGACAAATATGGAGAAATTGTTCCTTTCTACCTCAAACCCCCATATAAACAGGACTTATCTTTACAGATTCCATGAAAGGAGCACAGACCCAGACTTCAGACAGATTGAGTTTAAAACCCTGTTCTATAAATCTGCAAGCTGTGTGACCTAGGACAAGCTAGGTCTGTTTCTGCTAGGAAATAGGAACTGTGACTCTACTTTGTCTTGCTGGCTCAGTCAATGTTGGTACTTTGCATGCATCCTTCTGTTGAAGCCTCATAACACCTCTGTGAGGTAGGTGTTCTTATTAGTCATATTTCATAGATGAGAAAACCAAGGCTGGTGAATGCTTCAAAAGTCATGTCTATCTATTTTGTAAGGCTTCTACAGTGCCACTAGTAAACACCTCACATGGCTTGAATGGCCCTCACCCAGAGAAAACTGACATGCAAGGAAATGTGGTTCACAGATACTCCAAACAAACTGCACCAGCACTGGCCTCTAGTGGGAGTAGAAGCGAGAAGATGGATTTAGCTTCACTGCATTTATCCTTCTTTGAGCCCATCTGTCTCCCTCCCTTTTTTCCCACTCTATGTTGATGACAATTTTTCTGAACTGAAGAATTTAGTTGACTAGAGGAGCTATTAATTTCAAACTAGTAAAATTTACATCTCATTTCTGTTCACAGATCTTGCTTCTCTGCATCCTCCCCACAGAGGTGTGTGCATGCACACACACATGTGCACACACACACCTCTCCTCATCATTCACCCTGGCCACACAGTTTTTCTTTGCTGTGATGCTAAATAAGGTCCGTTGAGAACCCGAAGCCCAACAATTTGGTATAGGCCAGTCTGCAATAGATTAAAAGGTCAACACAAAAGAAGTAGAGACCGACAGAAACAGAAGTTGCAGAGTTAACCATTGGGACCTCCCAAGGAAAAGATCATTATTCTTATTCTCGAGATGGTCGTATCTCTGGACCCTGCCTCCCCAAAGACTCTTTGTTCATCTCTTCATTCAATTCTGTGAGCTTCTCATGATCACTCTCAGCTATCTAAGTCAACTTGAGAAAGTTAATTTGGTTTGGGCATTCACATTTACAATCAAAAGAGTCCTAATTTAGTATATTCAAATCTTTCAGCACAAAGTTGAAAAGAGGGGCTGGGGTTGTGGCTCAAGTGGTACAGCGCTCACCTAGCATGTGTGAGGCACTGGGTTCGATCCTCAGCACCACATAAAAATAAAATAAAGATACTGTATCCACCTAAAACTTTAAAAAATTTAAAAAGAAAGAAAATTGAAAAGTAACAGAACCCTACATATAAATACGCTTGGCATCTTTCTGAGGTTGACTCTACACTCATTCATTCAACAAGCTTTTACTGAATATCTACTACATATAAAGCACTGTGAGGAGAACTTACAATCCAAGGATGAATGAAATATGGATCTCTTCCCTAAAGAAGCTTACAGTCTAGAAGAGAAAGCCAGAAACATGGTGAAATTGCAATAAAATGTGACCCATGTTTTGATGAAGTCCATAGTGAACCGTAGGTGGAGGAAGGAAGAAGCAGTCAATTCTTCTTAAAAGGTTCACAAAAGGTTTCAGAGAGATGAGAGTACCTTGCTGACACTTGAAAGACAGGTTTTTATCTAGAGCATTGCTATTTAAAGTGTGGTCCATGGACCAGCAACATCAGTATCACCTGTTAGAAATACACACCTGGGAGCCTCACTCCAGACCCAATGAATCAGTATCTGAATTAGAGCAAATTCCTCAGGTAATTGGTACCTCAAAGAAGAAATGGATGTGGGAAGGGTAGAAGAAGAGCAAATTCAAGCAGAGCGACCAGTTTAAACAAAGCCTGGCAGACATAATATAGCATGGTGTGTTTATGAGACTGTAAGTCATAGCAGAGAGTGTGAAGGAGGATATGGCATGAATTTAAGCAAGTCCAGACCACAGAGGGCCTTGCAATCCATGCAGAGAGGGCTGGACTTTATCCTATTGGTAATGAGGAGCAGGTAAAGTAAGGCTGTGATATGATCAGATTGCACATTTAAAAGTGAAGTAAGAACTTTTCTGGCAAGCACAGTAATAGATGAAATTTGGGCATGAGCCCAAAGGGAGGGGAGATGTAAGAAAAGAGAATAACATGAGTTGATTGATTTGATTTAATGCAATTTCTTTTAAAGTTTTGACGCTAACTGCCTGACAACACTGCAGAAGATGGATTGGAGAGAGGGCAAGACCAAAGTCAGGGAGGCCAACTGGCATATTCGTACCCTGGTAAGAGATGATGCCGATTGATCCAAACTATAAACGTAGCAGCAGGATGAAGAGGAAGAGACGGCTGTCAGAGAAAATGAGGCAGAATCTGCGGAGCTCACTCCAAGTTTGGAAACTACATACTGCAGCTGGCTGGGGCAAGAATTTTGGGCTTATTGATAGAAGGAAAATGGTAGAGGAGTCAGTACTGGAATAAAAGATAGGAAGTTCTGTTTGGGGTCCATTAGATTGGAGACCTCTGTAGAACATACAGGTGGTAAACACATGTGGACATTTTGGCACTAGACAACTACCTTTGCATACAAAGTCTCTCTTGAAATTTATCAATTAGAACCTACTTTGTTTACTTGTAAAGCACTTAACTAATTCCACAAACAATTGGCTCTGATGGAGAACTCAGTGGCTGTGAACCCGGACTCTGCAACTTAAAGCTGATCTTCCAGCTGTTACCTGTGCTTATTGCACAACTAGCACGGAAAGTCATTGAAGTTCAGGAGAACTCAGAGTGTAATTCTGAAGACAGAACAAATGAAGACTTCTTTCTGTCTTCCCTAAAGATCCCAGATTCCTGAAGGTCCTAAATACATTCAATTTAACAAGTAACAACCAAGCATGCACCATGAGCCAGGCATTGTTAGACACTGGGGATACAGCAATAGACAAGAAATTCTCACCTGGTTTACATCTAGTAAGGGAGACAAAGGTTAAACTGAAAGTAAACAAATGCAGGGACCTTCTGCTCAGTTCTGCCTTCAAGAAAGGACTTGTTGCCCAGCTATCAAGAACATAGTTAGCTGGCAGCCTTCAGAATTATTTGGCACTTTTGAGTCTACCTTGACTTTCAAGCCAAAGTCACAGTGATTCCAAGGTGACTTCCCAGACAATGGCAGAAGAAAGCAGCAATAACTAGGGGCGTTTACATCTTGCAGTGACCCCAGATGGATTTGTCAGACTTAGCAAATTGAAACGCCAGACACCCAGTTAAATTTGCATTGCAGATAAAGAAGGAAGTTTTGTTTGTTTTGCTTTAAGTATATTCGAAATATTGCATGAGACATAACTTATACTAAAAAGGTCATTGTTTGTCTGAAATGCAAATTTAACTGAACACTCTATATTTTATCCAGCGGGCTTACTTCCCAACAATAGCTGGGCAAGGCAGTGGGTCAGAGGTCTCCCCAATTCAACCCTGTATACTACGAATACGTAGTTTTTGCTCTGGAGCTCTTGTTGGATTGGTGGTCTTTGTCCTCTCTTCTGACATCTCTCTACACAATCCTGATTTTTTTCCTTTTCCATTAATGTGTATGACACCCCCAAAACCTTTTGAAATTCTAACTTCATCTCAGCATCTACTTCCTGAAAAACTCAACTTGTAATGCTTGATATCAAGAATGGTCTGAGAAAGCAGGAGGTAAGAAAAGGCTTAGGATCTGGCTCATTCACCACTCAGCTGGTGGTGAGGACCCCATTGATGGTGGTCCCTTACAACTCTTGGTATAAGATGGCATAAAATGAAGTTTCAGTTGTTAAAACTCTCATCAGTGGTGGATTGGGATGGCATGTGGCAGAGAGGAGTATACAGATTCAAGTATTTGAAATGCATAGGGCGACTTGTAAGTATGAGAATAAAGGAATTTGTTGAGTATTATTAAATTGTATTAAAAGAAGAATGATTAATAAAAAGCTGAGAGCAGCTACAAATAATGGAAACAAATATGAAAGGAGTCTTTACAATTACTCTTTCTCACTGGGGGTAAGCAGAAAAAGTTGAAGATGAAGCACATGATTTAATTAAGTTACTGAACTTTAAAGACAATTGAGTTTTCAACCAAAGCAGGGCTGTGATACCAAAATCAGGGTCCTATTTGGCAAAACCTGAGACCACGACACTTGGAGTTGGAGTGTCTGGATGGATGTTCCTTAGTTTCCTCTGAACCTACAAAGTCTGTGGCATGGCTCACCCCTTTCAGTTAAGAGCTGGCACATTCCTGTGCAGGAAGATGGTACAAGGGACTTCCCCCCAAAAGGCAATTCATATATATATTGCCTAAAACCATACAGTCAGCAATAATCTGGGCCTGCTTAGGGAAGAAAGAGACCATAATTCAAAGGAGTTATAAGATGGCACCAGGGTGTGCCAGCAGAGATCAAGATGCACCATTAAGAAGGCAAGAACTTAAGTGTCTAGTTAAATTTACATTGCAGAAGTTTTCTTTTTTTGGGGAAAGGGCACTGTTCAGAATTCAACACCCCCCAAAATGATGTGAACTTGCTGCAAAGGTAGCATTTAGAAGCCTAGAGAAAGCAATGACCCCAGCTGAGAGGTTGAATTGCTTATTTGCCATGGAAGACATAGGAAAAAAATTAAAAGTCTCAGAAGTGGAGTATCATGTGAGACCAAAGGCCATTCAGAGAGCATACCATTTACCAAGGCCATCAGGAACATGCTGGTGAGAGGCACATCTGATCTCACTAAGTGGCTCAGTGGTGCATCTCCTCTGGGGCCAGAGCTAACAATACAAGAGTCTATCACAGAACTTGGCTCACTGATGGAAATGAGGATGCTGGGCTCCCCTAACTGAGGCCAGGTGTGGTACTTGGACTTAACTACTAGAAGACAGGTAGTTGCAATTATGACAACTAAGAACAGAGTGTCAATCAAGAAGGTCTAATTCATACATCCTCTTGGAGATGGTGAATAGAACTCAGAATTTTTATAAACAAACTAGAAGATGGCAAAAAGGTGCTATTTCATTCATATATATATATATATATATATATATATATATATCTCCAAAAGAAAGAATGGATGAACAAGAGTCTGAAAGCAATTGCCACAATACAGTGTCATCACATCCTGGCCCATTTTCAGATTGAAATCCTGTTGACTGAAGCAGTTCATAAGGTTAAAATAAATAAAATAAATAAATAAAACCTTATAATATCATGGCAGATATATACACTAATGATTCACAAAGTCCTTCCCCAAAGAGACCTACTATCATTTACGTGGTTGATTGTATAATGAAGAAAAAGAAATAGCCAGACTTTCCAGTGGCTCTTGGACTTAGGGTCTAAATTATAATTGATACACAAAGAAATGAAACTTTATCATGGGCCTGTGTAATAAACAGAGAACAGAAGTATCAGGCAACAAATGGACTACTGGCCAGAGAAAGGTTTGTGATGTGAGTCTGCTAATCCATGGGCCATAGAGTAGTCATTTTTCCTGTTTGAAACTGTGTAATTGGTATTATTAATTTGGCATTGGTATTATTACACTGAAGTCTTGACCTCTAGATAAGAACTTTCATACCATAGAAGGTCAAGTAGAAGTCTCAGAAATTGCTGTCTACAAGAAGCAAATCAAAATCAATATTGCATCCTTGGGAGAGTAGTGGAGATTAAAGATACAGAGATGATGGTCTCTATCGTATTTCCACTAACCCCCTACTCTGGACCCTATGAAAACTGCATGAATCTTGGAGACTATAGACTATTGCAACTACAAACAAGTAATACCCTTGATTGTATATGTTGTGCCAGGCATACTACCATTGCTGGAGCTGATTAATAATGCCTTGGGTATGTGGTAGCACACTGGGATTGGCAATGAAAGCTTTTCCCAATTCCAAATAGTAAAGATCATTAGAAGGTGTTCACATTCAAATAGAATGGGCAATATTATATACTTGACAGTTTTGCTCCAGAGATATTTTAACTCTCATGCTTTCTGCCACAATACATTATTAAGAGATCTGGACCATCTGTATAAGATGCAGAATATCATATTGACCCATTAAATTGATGACATGATGAGCAAAGGTGACTACCACACTGGAAGTCTTCATAAGATATGTGGGCTTCACAGGGAATGACAGTAAATCCTAGAAGATTCAGGGTCTTGCCACTTCAGTAAAAGGGGACCTAGGTTCAAACTATGCTAGACATTCTGTCTAAACTAAAAAACAAATTGCTATATGTGGCATCCCTACCAAAAACAAGAAAGTGCAAAGCCAAAAGACTTTTAAAATGTCTGGGACAAAACATTCCATACCTCAAAATATTGTTCTGTTCCATGGGAAGAGCCTGTGACCATGGGACTCACTGGTTGTATATCACATACTGCACCACCCCAAAGTTCTGTTCTGGAGATATTGGAGTGTCCTGCTAAAGGACACTTAAGTACCTGCTCGAGGCAACAGCATCCTCCAGAATGCTACTGTATATACTTTAGGGCAGAGCTCTATAGATGTCAGTGTTCCCAAAGGGAAGAACACAGGGATCAAGAAGCCAAAGGACAATAGTGGGAGGCCTCACTTACCATCTCTCCCACTGACCCTCCACGGCTTTCCTGTTTCCCATTCCTGCAACTCCAGGCTCTGCTGGATTAGAAGTAATGGTTCCCCAAAGGAATACACCCACCAGGGGCACAGAAAGTGTCATGTTGAACTGTAAGCTGTAACTGCCACATGGGAACTGCGGGCTCCGTATTTTCAGAGATCCACAAGCAAGAAGAGGAGTCACAGTCTTATTAGGGGCAATTGATCCTGATAATCAGGAATAAGGACTGCTTTTATACAATGGAGGCAGGGAAGAATATGTGCAGAACCCAATTGATTCACATGGGCACCTCAGTACTCCTTTGACCAATTGTGACTGTGGATAGACAAATATGGCAACCCTGATCTGAGAAAGGTATAGTTACTATGGGCTCAGAGTTTGGGTCTCTGCACTGCATAGACTACCAAGAGTAGCAAATGTGATAGTTGAGAGCAAGGAGGATTTAGAATGGATAATGGAAGAGGAGATTATGAGTATCAGTTTTAACTCTAAGACCTATAGAACCAGTAGGGGGCTTTAGTTTTTCCCACTAACCTCCCTCTTCTAAATTTCCCCTCAGGAATAAAGACCCCCAGAGCCGAGGAAAGAGGCTCCTTGCACAGTCTAAGGGGTAGACTGTGTCAGATAGAGATATGCTATTCAGATCCTCCTTC